CATGATTAAATCGAATGGTACCTTAACTGTCCAACGTTTTTTGCTTTGCTGAAAATCAGTTAAGACCGGCTTGAAATGATAAAAGGGATGCAAGATCTGAATCAAACTGCACAAACATAAGCTTCGGTACGGAGCAGTTGTTATCAAACCATTTCCACTTGTTATTTGATTCTATTCCAAAATAAGCTTCATCTATTTATTGGTTTTTCGTATTTAACTCTCTGGTGGGCTGAAAACTGGCATGAGAGTGTGAATAAGCACGGTTTTTACAAATAAATCATCCATCACTTCAATTATCGAACTTATTCTATTTTATTGATTTTTTGTACGCGACATTTTCGAGAGAGTGTTGGTCATGATCGCAAAAAAACATTTTGGATGGTGGTTCACGCTATGCTATTTGAAGAATTGCAATATGTAAAATACGCACGCACACGAGTGAAAACTATGTAGGAATGTAAAGCAGAGATAGACAAGGAATCATCAAAAGAAGCAGAGCCACTTGAAAATTCCAAATCTGAATGATCAATCTTGCGCTCGAGTACCAAATTCCTACGTATGCGGCGCCCGCGCGGAGACTCATTCCGTGATTTCGCGCGACCAATGGTGTTTATATAGCCTACATATGCATTAATTTTTCTCAACGAATTCTATTCTGTTATCATTCAACCATCCTAGGCAGGTTGAGCTTACCTTGAGGATAATATCCTTGGGGGCAGTCCATCCAGAAAGTTTGCCTGTCAAGTGTACTCCAATAACTTTTGGGCACTTCAGCTCCCATGGTATGCCAGCCATCACATCTACGGCGTCGCCACCTCCCACTCCAACGCACAGACCAGCGAGTCCACCTCGAATGAAGTAGTAAAGAAGAGAATGGGCTCAAAAACGGTGAACCAACCTCCATTAGGAGTATGAGAATCCGTTCCAATAACTAAGAGCCCAGGAAAAGCATAATTTTCGAAGAAAGTTTGATGAATGATGCCCGAACCGGGACTCCAGAAACCTATACCGAATTTGTTCGAAGCCGACGCTAAGAAGTCGAAGACTTCTTTGTTGATTTTCTATAAGAAAGTGAAGTCTCTTTTTCAAAAAAGCGGCCAATTTCTTTTGATCAAAATCTACAAACTTTCCGGAAGGTGTATATACATATCAAATGGTGATTTATGTGCTTGCCTTT